GTACATGATGTATGTGTGTTGAAAGTTCAGTACTTTTAGTATGAAAACTTTTTATTCATTATCTGCTCTAATCTGTTCTGTTTCGGACTTTATTCATATTATGTCCCAGTTTCTATTATGCAGTAGACACTTCATTTCATTCAAATAAGCTTTAAAGCCAATGAGGACACTTATTACTTTATGTAAATATTTTATGTTTATTGGAGGTGACTTATAGGCCCATTGAGCCGGGTGTATTTAATATGTTGCAAAATTAGATTTGTAAAATATGTTTACACACGTCACTAAAATGAATAAATTACTTACTTACTTATAAAAAAATTAAAGATCCCTTCACATTATCTGCGGATTTCATAATTGAAATAAAACTTTATCAGTATAAGGATATGAGGAGTATCGGTTAAAATTTAAAAGTCCAATTTGAAAAGTGATTTTACTATCAATATATAATTGATTATGTTCCTAACTTGATTTTTTTTAAAACAAACTGCGACAATTTTTACTTTTTAAACAGAAAATTACTTATACAAAAACTGTTTCCAAGATACATAGTTTATTATAACCAGGGAACAACTGTTTATATTACATAGTACGGCCATGTTCCCCTGTCCTGAACAATGTTCAAGTTACCGAATTATGCAGAAACACGGCTGATGGGAGACGAGGAAACTCGGGAGACGATGATGATATTTTCCAAGAAATGCTATTTCGAATAATTTGACATCATCTATCCACAATACATGTACATACACCACAGTGATATTCATCTGATTCTAGCTTTTTAACTTAGATATAATTAGACCTGGCGGCAGTGTACTTCAGAATTTACTTTAAGATAAAACTTTATTGTTTCTTGTTTAAATGACGAAATCCGCTAGATAAAAGGATAGCAACAACACGACGCTGCAAAAACATTGGAAAGAATACAACAGCTATGTCTGTTTCATTTTAATATGTCAAGTTAGAGTCTTTATAATATCTGTTGTTGTTGTTGTTTTTTACATATGCCAGTTCATTTAATAAATTATTAAAAGGATATATATAAACGTAAAATTTAATTACTCTGTGTGTGGACGATCCCGATTTCATCTTCGTGATTTCACTATTTTACCTTTCACGATTTCAACTTCACAGATCCACGATTTTAATATAATTAATTTATGTTTTGAACATCACAATTTTAACTTTATCATTTTCTCATGTTTGGCTTATCATTTTAAATTATTATAATGATAATGATAAGGAAATTACAATTTAACATGATTCACTATAAATGCAGAATAAAAAAGTACTATCTAATCGTCAATCGCAATTGTAAAGTATTCGCTATTTATCTGCGGAGGTATGCTAAAAAGCAAACAAAGCGGTATTGAGCTAGAATACCGCGTTGCCTTGTATACAAAAGAAGAAATTTCAATATACGTTGTCGTTATTTGTCTGCATGCTACAGGTGGATGTCTTATTATTAGTATGCAATTGACGTGTTAATACCTCAAGAAAATATAACATTTTGTAAAAGCGTTCCTGTTTTATGTTAGTTTGTCAAATGTCTGACAAGTATTAGATCAGACTATTTCTTTCCTCTTATAGGTTATAGGCGATTCAGAAGTAAATCTTCATTCGCTATTTCTATATACAGAATCCGTATTTGCACGAATACGGAATTTCGTATTTTAGTAATATACGGATTGTTATAAAAATTCCGTATATCATTAAAATACGGACTTCGTATATCAACGTTCCCGTATATTACGAGTGTACGGATCACCGTATATTGGTCATATACGGACTGACATAATATACGGTCCCGTTCGTCTCCGGATTTCAAGTTTCCCATATTCTTACCCGTATATTAATGATATACAGAATTCCGTACACTTCCGTATATCCATATCTTTTTCGCAGTGCTTGGAATTACTAAAAAACGAGTTTTTCCATGTTAAAACATGGCTTCACACATTATGTTGAAGAAAAAACTGTTGTTTTGTGGCATTTTCTTATCTTTTCAATTAACCTTTTACTGGATGAGCATATTGTGAAAAGTAACTGCTTTCATTGAAATGCATCCTGTTACAAGTTCAAACTGTTATGAAACCATGTAAAATGTTTAAAATGAATAAATTTGACCTAAATGTTGACTGGACCAAATTCTTTTTAACAGCATGCATAATCAAAAATTTCCTGTTACAATGGCAACGAGGTGACATCTCAAAATTGCCAAAAAATCACTTTTTTTTGAGTTGATTTTTCCATTCAACTGATTTCAAAGTGCTGAAACATCTATTGACATAGAGTCAAAGGATTTTCAGCGCGGATTACGTGTTACGTTAAGATCGACCTTAAGCCATTTTAGCCTCTCACTAGGCAACAATTTTCTTGGCGATGAGGGGGGCTGCTGAACCCCTTCTTACACCAAGCATAAGGAGGCATATCCCCCTGGCACCCTCTTAATGTACATTTTTATTGGGATGGCGCTGAAAATGCAATCATGTTTTTTAACAATATTTCTCATATCAAAAGCAAGTGTTTGGGGCCAAAATAGGGCATTTATTCACTATTAAAAAGGGTGTGTGTGAAAAGACACCAAAACACGTCTATATGAGGGTAAACTTTAGCAGAAGGTGATGAAAATTTTTGATCCGTCACAAAAGCTTTTGTCAGAGATGTTGGCATTATAGATGTCCATATAGGAGATATGCTCTAAGCATTATCTGGACAATATCTGTATATATTATTATCTCTAGTTACCTTAATCTAAACTACATGTTTCATACTTGTAGTCAAGATAATTGTCATTTATGTCGCAATCCATCAATAAATGATAACTAATTGGTCACCGTACACAAACTGTGACCTCTCTATGTGACATTGACTTGGCAAAACATGACTCTCGTAGCAGAGACGTGGATTATGTGCACAATACATTATCTTTAACTTAACAATGGTAGTCATAAAAATTATCAATTGTGTTTCATTATCTAAAAAATGAGGACTAAGTGGTCCGAATGCACATATTTCTGTCTGAACTTTGACCTTGACCTTGTCCACATGCATTTGAATTTTACACGCGACACGTAGCCTTACAATAGTGAATATTTTTGCCAAGATATATTAAAATCCATGTATTCATGAAGAAGTTTTGCTCTGGACAAGCGTTTTTCAATTTTCATTAATTGTGACATTGACCTTTGGCCAAGAGAACTGATTTATGCGCATGACACTGCTTCTTATAGTCGTGAACATTTTGATGAAATTTCATTAGAATCCTCTTATATGTGTAGGGGATATGCTCTGGACAAAATCTCTATATTATTCATCTTTATTGACCTTGACCTTGCATATATTAACCTAAATAACATGTTTCACATCCTTATTCATGATAATGATCATTTGTGTTTCAATCCCTCAATAAATGATGACTCAATGGTCCGAATACACATTTTCGTATTTCTTTCTGAATTCGACCCCTTTGTGTTAACTTGACTTTGGCCTCAGGGACCTAAATATTGCACGCGACACTTTTTTATTACAATGGTTAACATTAATGGTAAGTTGTATGGGAATCACTATATACGTGTAGAAATTTTGCTCCGGACAAGCGTTTTTTTTTCAATGACCGCTAAGTGTGACATTGACCTTTGACCTAGAGACTTGACTTATGCGCATGAAACTGCTTCTAAAGTGATAAACATTTCTTGAAGGTTCATTAGGATCCCTCCATATGAGTAGGAGATATGCTCTGGACAAGATCTCTATATTTATCAACTTAAGTGACCTTGAAATTGCATATATTACCTCAATTACATGTTTCAAATCGTAGTAATGATGATGACAATTTGTGTTTCAATCCCTCAATAAATGATGACTTTATGGTCCGAATACGAATTTACATATTCTTATCTGAATTTTGACTCCTATATGTGGCCTTGGCTTCAGGGACCTAAATGTTGCACACGACACTTCATCTCACATTGGTGAACTTTTATGGTGAGTTACATTGAAAACCCTTTATGCATGTAGAAGTTTTGCTCCGGACAAGCGTTTTTCAGTGACATCTAAGTGTTACCTTGACTTTTGACGTACATACCTGGTTCATGTGCATGGCACTGCTTCTCATAGTGGAAAATATTTCTTTGAAGTTTCATAAAAAATTCCTCGATGAGTGTAGGAGATATGCTCCGGACAAAAATTGGACGCCGCCCGTTCAGCCTCATGCCTGCAAGGGGGGAATCTATAATATTACACGTGTTTTCAAACGGGTGTATAAAAATGGCTGTTTCCATTGAAAAGCCTCCTGCTACAAGTTCAAACTGCTTTGAAACTATAAAAAGAGGTTTTAATACTGATGAAACTTGGCAAAAATGTTGACTGGACCTTAGCGATTGTAACAGCCTTCTCAATTTTAAATTTTCTGTTGCGTTGGCAACGGAGGACATCTCAAAATTGCCAATAATCAGTACTCTCTGTTGATTTTTCAATCAAAACTGATTTCAAAGAGATGCAACTTTTCAATGGATTGAGGTAGAGTCAAAGGCTTTTTACGTAATAAGATCAACCTTAAGCCGTCTAAGCCTCCCACACGTCCAAAATATTCTTGGCGATGAGGGGGCTGCTGATCCCCTTCAAACCCTAAGCAGAAGGAGGCACATCCCTCTTTTGGCACCCCCTTTATGTACCTTTTTATAGGGGTGGCACCGAAAAAGTAATCAAGTTTTAAAAACATTTCGCAAATCAAAAGCAAGTGTTTGGGGCCTAAAAAGGGCATTTGACTGTTTGTTGCCTCAAAAAAGGGTCTGTGAAAAGCCGTCAAAACACGTCTGGTTAAAGGTTAATTGTACGAGTTCTTTCAATTACATTCATATATCATACTATTGGAAATTTTAAACAGCTGAATGATATCTTATAATATTATTCAATTAATCCGAACAGTTCAGTGACTGTAATGTTAGCTTACTGTGTCGGTATTAATGAATGTTTACATAGACACAACTTTATATAAAGGTTTTTCTTGCGTAGGTAAAGAAATACGACCTCATATCAGCTGATGGAGACACACTAAAAATACGCTTCTACGACATAAGGGGTTTTGAAAGTGGAAGAGAGAATGCAAAAGAGCTTGAACTTCTAATAGATGGACGGCTTCCTGAAAACTATCAAGTAAAGTGATTCTTCAAATCGATTATCACTTTCAATTACGCCCGCATTCGATGTTTAATTACCTTTTTTACAGCAACATACTTTTAATGTGTTTCAAATATACATTTTTGATTGGTTGAGCTTTACATCGTGCAACATTGTGAAGAACATATGGCATCTTCTATGCTTTGCTGGTGGAGGAAAACCTTAAAAATCCTGTATGTTGTAATTGTGGTTGTATACCACACTTAAGTGAAATTTTATATATGTATATAATTATGCTTATAAAAAAATTCAAACATCGATGAAAATGTAAAATATGTACTGCAAATAATTGTGCACATTATATCATTAATCATTAAAATATAAGCATTCATTTCTTATTTCTAATTATCTCCCTTTATTTTAATGAAATGTTAAATTCAGTAATATCTTTACAAATAGTGCTTTTTGGAACTTACAATATTGATAAATCTAATTTGAGCATCATATTTTGACATAAAACCATAAAGTATTGTGTCACAGGATCTTTAAATGCCGCCGTGTGATGAACATACATCTAAGTAGAAACATCAATGTTCCGTAAGCTAGCGATGAAATTCAAACACACAACGGATCGAGGCTAATGATTTAAATCGACGACAATAACAACTCGTCTACGGACGCACTAGGAAGAGCTTGTTTAGTTCAACCTTTTCCCCCTGGATTTTTTTATCATTTTGCCATAACAATGTAACAAAAGATGAAAAACTGCATATTAAGTTAATTATGATTATGACGTATCCCATTCACAATTTTGTTAAATTTATCGTAAATTGTATTGAATCACGGAGAGGAACTTTTACATGATAGTCGGAATTTTTTTCTTTTTCTTTTGATTTCTTCTATGAACTGTGTTGTCTTTCTTACCTGAAATAATTATCGCCGTCCAAAAAAATTCTCGTGTATATTTGTTCAGTGACAAAACATTTCCGTTCAAGACAATCTAGTTTTGTTTCTGGTATTTTTGTTCTATCAATAAAATATTCTGCTTAGTGCAATAATCCTACTTCTAAATCGCTTTTGAAACATGATGCTCGTTTAAAATTGTCTTATGAAAGCTTTAAACTGGCTTTCATAAGCATCTTCAGTCAAAATGCTCGTGCAACATTTTACTCTTGACGAATTGGATCAAATTCCAAGAGCATCTATAATATTGTTTGGACAAAAAAAGACTTTATTTGGTTATATGGCATCTACAAAACTTTGTAATCTTTGAATTCTCCTCCTTTTTACTATATAATATGTACCTTTGAATTCCTGAACTTCTAAATTCTGAATTCCGAACGATTATCTGGTAACATTTGTGTTATATCAATTAAATTTAGTTCCTAAACCCGGGAAATAAAAGGGTGTGAATGATTGTTAAACTTGAGATAATAAAACATATTATTACACAATGTCAGCATCTCCAAGTTATTGTTATTATTTATCTTGTCACCTAAGATAATCGCATTCTATCAAAGCATGTCAAAGCCTTGGTTTCAAGTGTGTGAATTGCACAATTTAGAAGTATATTTCGGATTCTAAAAACATGTAGATTTGTCGTATAGTCTGAAGCACATTAAATTAAACATTTCCATACATTTTCCCTGGTATGTTTCCAAATCTAAGGAACGTGTTCACCGGGGCTATTGCGTTGTGTTCAATACCAATGTACTATCTATAGTCGAATTATTCAAATTTTCCTATTTTGAAACAAATAAATCACACTTAGGATATAATGGGTTCTGTTTAAACATTTAAACATATCCTTAAGTCTTTTTGGGAAAAGGGATGACCGGTAACTTAAAAATAACACCACTTTATATTAACAGATTCAGTTATACTGAGCCTGCAAAATTTAAATTGCCATATTGGTAGTTTTCATTTTATTTAATATATAACCTTTTCAGGTGTTGTACATTCGTAACATAATTTCTATATTTCAGTTTCCGGAAAAGTTCAATCCAGATGATGTCATAGAAGAAAGACCAAATCCAACATTAAATGAGCAAATACATTTAATCTGCTTTGTAGAAGAAAATTCAGACTTTGATAAATATACTGTTGCGCATAAGGAACAAATCAATGGAATCAACCGTATTATCTGTAATAAAGGTAAAATGTTACATAGAAGCATTTCACAAAACAAATAGATTGTGAATGATTTCATGGTCATCAAATGATTTACCAAATATGTTTTACTTCAAAACTTGCACACAAATGTTACTCTTTTTATCGCAACTTTTGGAAAAAAGAGATACTTTTGAATTTTGAGAAAGATTCACACGTGATGTCAATGAATCATAGTTCATACTACTTGCTGATCTAATCACGTCAGGTCCACCTTCCGTTAGCCCCGAATTACCGACCAACTTCGTCAACTTCTATATCTTTGTTTGTATATGACTGCTTTTTGACTTTACACAAATGTATATTATTGCAAAGTAACGAAAATAAACTAGTCTATATGAATATGAGCAGTCATGGACCTTCAACAATATCAACCCAACAAACAAATAAAATATCAACACAATATTTGCACAACCAGATTTAAACAGCACTATTGCTAACATTTACATGACAGTAAATACGTTCACCAGCGCGCACAGAATCGTGATTGATAACGTATTTTGGTATATTCATTCACTCCGTCTCCGAGAACTAAACACTACAAAACAAGTCATTTCAATAAATAAAAGTTCAATAAAATGTCTAGTTTGGCATCATTAAAAATTAAAAAAATTCTAATTCAAAACGAACATCCTGCACGCTTCTCGTGTTGTAAAGTTGCAGAAAACTACGCTAATTATGTTTTATATATTGATTGTAGGGTAAAAGTAGCAGATGAATAATAGACATTTTATCAGATTAGTGTGATTGTAGCGATTTCATGTTTTTTTTGACAATCTAATGGCTATGCTAGAGCAAACGCCAATGATAGTGGTTGACACATGAGAAGTGCAATGAATGAATAGAATACTCGAACAAGGGTCGTGAATTAATGTGTCTCGATTGTTAATCGTCGCATAGCAGTTTGCAAAAAATAATGTGCAATCCCTATGTAGTTAATATCGTAATGGCTATGCATGTTAATATAGAAACGCAAATGATAGTCATTGAAACATGACAAGTGCATCATTCAATGAATGAATTGAATACTCGAGCAAGGTCGTGAATGAATGTGTCTTGATTGTTAATCGTCGCATAGCAGTTTGCAAAAAATAATGTGCAATCCCTATGCAGTTAATATCGTATGTATAGGTATCATGCATGAGTCGAAATACAGATCACGTTCTGCTCATCTGTGCATAACGTTGTGAGCTATTTTGATCTCCTACATGTATGTTGTACGTCGTCGAGTGTCGTCAACAATTTCCTTCAACAACATCTTTTGTGGAACAATTGACTGCTCATTAACCACATTTAACCGGGATGATCCTTTTGTGGTCCCTTTCAACGTCGTTAAAATGGTTTTGGTCTGTTGCGTTACTAGGTCACGGAGCCAGAGAAGGAGTTCAAAAATGCAAATTAAAAAAAATCTTCTGGTCTTAATTACTTACCAAAGGCTTTGTAATGTGGTATGTGATATTATCTGTAGGTCCTTTACCAAATGTATTCAGTTATTTATACAGTAACAAAATTGGCCCAGACCCGGGGTCACAGGTTTTCCTTATATGTTTATATCAAAAACTTCAAAAATATTTTTATCTTAAATGACAAATGCTTAAGGTTAGATATTTCACACGAAACTTTGTGTACTAGACCCCCTTCATTGCTCTTCAAATGTTGTGTCTAGTATCAAAATTGGTCACACCTGGGTGTCATTATTATTTCTTTTTTGCATATAGTATAAACATCTTCTCTAAAATGACAAAAGCATGAGGTTAGATAATTGGCATTAAGACTACGGTTGTTGACTACATCTAAGTTTGTTTAAGTTATGGCCATGCGGCATAGTTTTTCATTATAAACGTAATTGGAGTAATTCGTATGCGCAAATAATCCTCTGAAGCTTCAAAGTATAGAGCTTAGATATTTGGAATAAAATACTGTGAACCTCTACAAAGCTTTTCAATATTTTGCACTAGGGACTATTTAAGCTTTGACCTTAGCGTCGAGAGAATTCTTAATATACATTTATCAAAAATCCTTTTTTGAAAAGGAGAAAGCTGGAGCTTAAATATTTGACATTAAATATTGTCTAGTAGATCTGTATCAAGATTAATAAAATTAATACCTTGGGGGAACATGTTTTCCCATCCCATAGGGCACAGTGAACTACTTTCTTATTCTTTGGTTTAAATCTATTAAATTTGGACCAATGTTGCACAGTTCGAAATGTAAAATTAAAATTCATTGTACGCCGCCTTTCCTTGTTTATCTTTTTTACCATATTTTAATATCAGCTAACCTAGATTTTGGCAAGTGACCTACTTTCTTGTCTTTTCGTTTATAGCTATAGAATTTGAAAGATGTTTACAGTTTTAGATTTAAAAAGTTAACGTTGATCTGACCTAGATTTTGAAGAGAAGTACCGTACTTTTCTTGTTTGTTCTTGGTTTACAAATGTGAAATATGTACTATGTGCACGGTTTTAGATGTAAAATTGAATATTGGTATCAGCTAAACTAAAAATTTAGATTTTTTCCTTCATACAGATATGGAATTTTGACTATGTGCACAATATCTGGTGTAGAGCTTATATTTGATAACAAATGACCTAAACATTGACACTATGACCTACATTTTGTATTTTAATATCCAGTTGTAAAATTTGGGCCATGTATATAGTATAATTAAAAAAATATTTTGCTTGAAGTGTGGTCTAGTGACAATATAGTTCAAAAACATATAATAGTCTGTCTGTAAGTGAGCACCTAGGGGCCAATTCCCTCCCTGTTAAATAATACTATGGGAAAAATCCAAAACATAAGCTGTTTAAAAAGCATTATAGCATTTCTGACTTCTTCATCATGTGTTGCATTTATCCATGTCTCTATATAATTTTAAGACTGAACTATGCCGTTATAGAAAAATAACAAGAAACAAAAAATGTTTGAGTCATTTTATATGTTAATTTATTTCTCTTAAAGGATTACCAATGGTTGTAATTGCAACAAAATTTGACAAGCTCTGTCCTAAGATATCCGAGAATGTTGCTCACCTTTTTAAAAGTCCAAAAGCAAAAAAAGCAGTCGACGCAATTGCTGGCTTCCATGGAGTTAATAAAAACCAAGTGCTTCCCGTGGTAAATTATACTGATGAAGAAGAAGGTCTAGATGCAAAAGATCAGCTGGCGTTGAAAGCTCTCAATAGGATATATCAATTAATAGAGGGTTATTTAACACATCATCCAGGTAAAACACTGTATACATACCTGTATATTCTTATTTCTTGGTTTATAACCTACATCCTCTCTGTGTGCATTTACATTTATGGGTCTGAAAGAATGCTTACAATGAGCTTGTGGTTTTATAATAAAAAGTAAATACATAAAAAGTGAAAATACGACAAGTTCAATTTTTGTCTTATTGGCATGTCTCCACATTCTTCTTTGACGATCAAAGAGCAGACACAACAGATGTGATGCAAAAATATAGCACTTTTTGTGCCCACACTTTGGGGGGGGGGGGCATTTAGATTTACCCTTGTCCGTCCGACCATCCGTTCTTTTTTGTGTCGCAAGTAGATAAAAAGTATTTTACCTAGAGTCATGAAACGTCACAGGAATGTTGCTCAGCATGTGAAGTTGAGCACCTTGGGTTTAGCTTGTGGATTTTTTCTGTTTTGTCAGAGTTATTGCCCTTGGCTTAGTAAACATTTGCAATTTTCAACTTGTGTCGCACGTACAAATATTAGACCTAGAGTCATGAAACTTCACAGGAATGTTGCTCAGCATGTGAAGATGTGCACCTGATGTTTCGTTTTTTGGATTTATTCTGTTTTGTCAGTGTTATTGCCATTGACCTAGTAAAAATTTGCAATTTTCAACTTCTCTTGCACGTAGCTCAATAAGTATTTTACCTTGGGTAATAAGGTTATTTGTTCCTTGAGTGCTTGAGTTAGAATCAGCCATATTTACAGGAATAATGTTCAACATCACTGTGAAGCTATGCACCTTGGGTTTTGCTTGTGGTTTTTTATTAGTTTTGTTAAAGTTATTACCTTTGACTTAGTATAAATTTGCAATTTTCAACTTTTTCATGCATAGCTCTAAAAAATATTTGATCTCTATGCCTGAAAAAATACAAGAATGTTGGTCAGCATGTGCACATTGGGTTCGCTTGTGGATTTATTCAGTATATATAAAGTTCTTGCCCTTTACTAAGTAAAAGATTTTAGTTTCACATGTAGCCCAAATATTTGACCAAGAGTCATAAGATTGACGAAACAGTAGAGGTTGGGGCACCCGTGTCCTATGGAAACATTTCTAGTTTTGTTTTGATTTTTACATGCTTTTGTTGTCATTTTGCTTTGTTAAACTTAAGAATGCTAAAGCAATAAGATCCGACAAATTTGGACTTTGGATTAACTTTATTTTACTGCGGTCGAGTTGTTGGGTTTTTTCTGATAGAAGCTTCAAATAAACCATCAAAGAAGGCCAAACACCATCCGTTATTATTTTAAAGAAAAAAAAACAACACTTTTCAATTGTTGTGATAATGTAGTTCAAAATGGAGAACTTTAATTAGCAGTATGGGTCCCGTATTGCAGCTAGAAAGTTTGAATTTGAGTACAGGGCCGTACGGTCAATAACTTTCTTAAAACTTTATTCTCCATTCGTTCATAAGGAAACATTCGAATATATTTATCATTAAGGTCTTTTAGATGTTTTCTCTTTTCAAAGGTCAGGCATTTTCTTTATAAACTGCCGGATGTGGAGATATAGTTTTATACCCTTTTGTAAAGGACACTTCCTGAAAGATTCTACATAATGGCAGGAAGCGAAAGAACTTGAATGAAAAGGAATGTGAATGAAAAAAAAAATAAAACACATCTGAAAGACGTTTTACGTATGAGCTGCATACATGAAAAGTCACTTGTCACTTCGAGCAAACAAAAAGACAAGTAGTGATTTTTATAAACGAGAAAAAAGTTGGAAAGTGTTGTATAACTGATGTTAAACTACCATTTTTAGATTCTAACTTATGTATCTTATGTCAATTCTTTTCTTTTTATTTTGAATTCCAGTTTAATTTATTACCATTTCTTCATAACTGCAATAAATTCCGATAGGATTTATTTAATACAATAAAAATAATTTGGAAAATATCCAATTTTTAAAACGAAAACATTATTTAATCGATATAAAACACATGCTGATTTAAAAAAGTAGAACAATCCAATTTGGAAAAATAAATACTCCATGGAAACAAGACGACAAGAATTTTCATTATTCCGCCCGGGCGGCATATAAAATGAAAGATAAATAAAAAAGAAAGGAAAACATCCTTAAAAATTAAGATAAAGTTAAATGATTTTATAGAGATTTTTGATAATCTTGGATGCTCGTGAAGTCTGCTAAAATCATGGTGGCGGTGGCTGATAATGAAAAACTAAATACATACCAACATAGACACAACTTTTTTGTAATAATGCTTATTTTGCACATGCCATACCTGTTCTAATTAGTTACATGAATATTCATATGATTTATTTCTTACTATTGCCGATTTGTTTCAAGCAGAACAAAGCCAATGCAAATGCAAAAGAGGAAACCGGTATGGATACACGATTGAAAGAGAACTACTGGTATAAATAAAAAATACTAAACAATTTAAACACAATTATTGTTATTCTTATTGCTTAATATGACTTACTTAAGCAACGAAAATCTTTTGTCACCAAATGCAAGAGACAAACAGCAACGTTTATGTATTATTTGTATATTTCAGACATAAAATTTGTCCCTGATGGTTGGAAAGATCGTGAAGATGCGTTGCCTGTCTGGGTAACTAACATGTTTTTTCATCAATATCAGATGAAACATAATGTTGAGATTAACAGAAAGTAGATATACGTAAAATAGTCTATAAAAAATCCCTAGCATTATTTTTCGATCCATGTGAGTTTGACGATCATTATTGCATTAACACGAAAATGCGCCATTTAAGGAAACATATTTCTAATTAGACCTTAAAAGCCATAATACCTAGATCTTAAAATTTTCGACAATGTCCCATAATTTGGAAAAACTATCATTCGGTAAGGACTGGTCTATTGACAGCTTTAGAAATATTATTGCCCGATTAGGAGATTCTTGCATAGCTTTTACTATGTTTATTTTTGTTCAAGTGTTTGTTTGGTTTGCTTTTGTCTTGTTTGCAATTTGTAGTCTTTCTGTTCGCGTATTCGGTTATTTGTGTGACTTCGCCTTATTTCATGTTACTGCCCTTCCACCATTTAACTTTTTTTGTCTTGATATATATTAAGGTTTTCGTAAATAACTTATGTTTCGTAAGATGCAATAAATATTACACGCAATTGAATCAAGAATGCATTAAAGAACATGAATTTTGAATAATACAATATTTTACAACATGAAATATAAGTTATTGAATTTGCAACGTTTGATATGCCATATTCTTTGAACTGACGCGTAGGCCTTTTCAGACCAAGATATTATTCTGAAATATGGTCTAAAATTGGTGTATCAAGGATTTTTAGCAAGCATTAATCAACATGCAAAATATCTTGATTTTCATCAAATTATACAGTTACATACATGAACATTTTACTTCTCGTGGGGAAACGTTAAAATATATTTTAATATTAGATCGATAACTGAATATTTACATGTAAAACTTGAATCACGGGTTAAGTTCTGTCTGGTTTTATGCATATTATTGATTGTTTGATATCTTAAAATATATATAAGTTGTTAGATAAGCATATTTTATGGCGAGTTACTATACACAGTATCGACAAGCCCGTTACGTGATTATAGAGGGTAAAATGCACAAGGCTGTTGTTGTAAATACTACAATTTACTACGTACAATAAAGGAAATTACACATTTTGACCACATAAATTACTGATAAGCTCAAGTATCAGATAACTTTAGAAGTCTTTTTCCAGATTGTAATTTTCATTTTGTTGATTAGTAATTTGTAAATGTAATTTAAACTTCTTTTATGTTTTTAGATATCAAGTGTCCATGCATAAAACAAATGTAGATTAAAATTTTAAAAGTTACAGAAAAAGATGGCTTATGAGAAAGGCATTATCTTTTCACTCTAAAGGTTCTATAAGTGTACATGAAGCATTTTCTAGTAAATTTAAAGTGTGAAGTGAAGGACAATTCATAGGAAAATCGTGACTATGACATGAATGTAATGTAGGGATAATATACTGAATACCAATTTTAGAAAAAGTCAAAGTCAACCAAATCAAACATGTTGAAGTATTTTTCTTCCACAAAAGATCTGTCAACATTCACTGTAAGAGAGATCTTGCATCGAATGTACAAATATAACAGGATAGGGAAGACATAAACATGATATAGTAGCATGTACAAAAGAGGTTTATAAATACTTTCTGTGGTTATTTATTATATAAATGTATTGACTAATGATTCAAAATAATGCTTGTCTTGAATGAAATGGCAAAATAATTACAGACCTACACAAAATGTGTTATAATCCTGATGTGTGAGACCTTATGGTTGGACAAAATGCTACAAAAACTATTAGATGACTGGTCAGAAGGTTATATCTTATTACAGTACTTATAACAAAAATAAGTTTAAAACTTTTGCTATATATTGCGTTCTAAATAAATGAGTCATATTTTCGAATAAAATATCTTTAAGGATTTTTTTTCATAGAAAATCATGAAATTTGTCCAAGTTTTTAATGTTTTGGTAGGGATTGATTAAAGTGAACTTTTAAATCTGGAGGCGATATATTTATTGCTTAATGAATCCAATTATTCAATATTTTGTGGTAGTTAAACATTATTTCAACAAAAATTTTATGGTGGAAAATGTATAATGATATTAGAGTACAAGTAGTTCAAGGACAGATGAAAAGAAAGAAAAAAACTTAGTTAAAAGCCAAATCTAAAATTCAATTTGAAATCAGATTTTGGCTTGGGTTAAAGCTAGGAAACGTTTCTGCTAATTTAAAATGAAGTGGGTATTTACAGAACTTGTAATATTTTACACTATAATTTCTTTTAATAGAGTAACAAATCTGTTTTATTTTAGCTTCAGCTGACAAGCAATTACTTTGAAGTGTATAAATCTTATATTATTTATTTTAATAATAATTCACTTTTTGTATCGTCTGTTCTGTAATAAGAGTTTATACATATCATTTATGTCAGTGAAACACCATATATTTGTTGACTGTTAAGAAATTTGTAGCAAGATTAAATGTTTAAATACGCTGGGCAGTTGGAATGTATACCTACCATAGGTCACGTGATTCCCTTTGTCGATATTTTGTATAATAACAATAAAAAATTTCAGAAGGATGATGTTGAAAAAGGAAATCAATTGAGTGAGAAATTGACACCCTTTGATGACAGGAACCTACGGATCCTGTTGGTTGGTCCTGTTGATAGTGGTAAATCGAGTTTTATCGATTCGGTTCAATCTGCGCTTCGTAGTAAAATTACTGCAGATGCCAGCATTAGATTTGCGAGGACAACACCGGAAAACCTTTCCTCTACAACAGAAAAGGTATCACCACACATATTTATGCGTGTATTATAAAATCAGAATGAAACATCAGACATATTAACAATCATACTTATATCTTAATACACGCTAAGGATTTTGACAGAAGCAGTTGGTGCTTATTAAAGTCAATAAAGATAATACAATCCATGCAGGTATGCATGTTAAGAGCATATTATCATCTTACATAGTGTTTACTACAATTTCCTCTGTTGATTGTATATTACAATAAGACAAAAACTGATATTAGTACAACATCATAACAGTACAGCTAGGTCAAATAGCTGTAACAATTCATGTCTTTCCATTTAATGTAAAGTTGAATTGAAGCAACTACTAGAATATATGTGTCAGCCCAAAGGGTTTTCTGTATTGATTTGATTACAGACATATATTGTTTTGTTCACATATTTTGTTGAAAGCTTGATGGTGTAGATCTATAGCTAAAATATGGGATCAATTGTATTTTTAAATTTATTAACGTTGACGTAATTGAAGTCGTATGTATGTTAATTGTGGAATTAGTTGATGTTTAGCTAAAATGAAATTAATCAGATTACAACTGTTTATTGCTATAATGTCAGAAAAGATGTTTTCACCAGGAAAATGATTCATGGTATATCTAGGCCCTTTTATAAATCCTTTCCGTCGAACTGATGTCCTTGTAGATATCATTCCAATGAAAGCAGTGTATTTACCTTCCGCACCTATTGCTGTCATGTATTAATCACTAAATAACGTCCATAAAAATAATACATCTTTGTTTTAGTTCAAGCTCTTTCCCGTTGATTATGTCGACAACGATACAGGCTTATTACGGAGGAGTGGTATACGTCTAGGTGATACACCTGGTTTTCAAGAACAAGATGGCATCAAAGAAGATCATGTCAAGTTCATAATTAGTGGAAATGTGCCCGATTGCTATAAAGTAAGTAAGTCAGATAGCAAATTTTATCATATGTAACACCATTTGACACTCTGAATTAGCAAAATAAAGAATTTACTGAAGTTTATTTTTAGGAATATAAATTAATCTAAATATGTCAGATCTGCAACAAATGAATTTAATAGTTCAGTTTTTTTGAAAGCGCTGTTATGTTTTCATTGCCTCTGTGAACAAACATTTTAAAGATAAGTGTGTACTTCACTGGCTGTTTTTTTATTATTTGTTTCTGTTGATCTCTTATTTCTAAGCGTTTAGTTCTACCGATAAAACTAGATGTGAGTTTGATAAAATATGTTCAATCTTGACAACATATGTCATTTAAAAGCTACAAAACAATCTTGTGACGACGTACACTTGCCATAATGTTTGACTTTCCGTTTCTTACTTTGAATATTAGCTGTAACGATTTTAGTTACTACTGATAGAGGGCTAACACTACGTTTAAGTATATTTAAAATTATATATAATTCTTCCTTCAACTTACAAAGTGTTGTGTAAAACTCAAAGGTTCACAAAGAATAACATCACACGGACGCAGTACCGATGACATTCGGTGGGTATTATCGTCGGCCTACATCTAATTTTGTTTTATTTGTATGTTTTAGATCATAAATGGAATTCAAGATACACAAGATGACTTCCAGAGAAACCCGCTACCAGGTGACAAAATACACTGCGTTTGTTTTGTTTTCGACTGTGAGAAAGTACAAAAAGGCTTTACAGAAAGTATAAAAACGTCCATGAAGAGGTTGCAACAAATGATCGTTGAACAAGGTATTTACTTTGTATGAAGAATCGATAATGCCTTCTTTGTGTCAAGTCTTAAGATTGAAAATGAAAAAACACTAGATTTTTTTAAGAAACTAAAACATAAACGTGTGCAATCTATTAAAAATGGCTTACACGATGGGTAAATACGACATTTCTTGTTTTTCTAGTGTGACAGGTAATGGCAGAATTCTGATGTTTTTATAATAAAGCGTTTCTAGTTTCACTTTACTTTAACTTAGTGTGCCTCTTCCCTGTTAATATGTTTGAAAAACGGGACGTATTTAATTTATAAAAAGCATATTTCGTAAACACATGGAGAGATTTGAATAAAAGATTCAAAGAAATATTCACCAATATCAAAAGCCGTGTCGCTCACAAGCGCTTAATTTCTAGGTCAAATGTCAAGATCACTGAAAAATGCTTGTGAGGGGCAAAGCATCTACATACATAGAGGAATGTCAATTGAACCTAAGTGTTCACCAATTTGAAGGGGAATGTCGCGGGCTAAATTCAGGTCCATGCAGCCATGGTCACACAAAATGGCCAAAGTTCAGATAAAAATATTAAGATTTTTATAGATACCATCTAGCCATCATTTATTGAGGGATTGTAACACAAATGGTCATTATCATGACTATGTCTGTGACACGTGTATGTAGGTCAAAATTTGCAAGCTCATGGTTTGTAAAGATGATGCCATTTAGATTATGTCTGGTGAATATCTCCTGCATGCATGTAATAATTTTCAAAATACTTTTTTGAGAAATGTTCACCACAACACAGAGACAACCTTGCTTGCCGCACTTCTTATCGCCCATATCTCCTAAATATTTTGTGACGGGCGTATTTTGTGACAATGTTATTCTTATTTATTATATGTTCAGCCGAAATCAATTATGGAAAGGATGATATGATGTCTTAAGTAAACGCACAATTGTCACTGAAAATTTATATGAGCTGCATTAAAATTCCTTTGTTATCATTGTTTATGTCAATTACTTCATTGTATGCTATAGTATATATCTTCTATATTAAAACATCGCTTGTTAATTGGTAAATAAATATGTTTTCCCATGGACAAATTCCTAAATAGTATGAGACTTTGTTTGAGACAAAAGATTATTGTTGAGACAATATTTCCTTATTTGATCTTTACTCTGCAATATTCAAACATATTTTCTGAGCTATTGCAATTAATTCAAATTAATTCATCAGCGTATTGTTTACTGAAAATATAAGATCAGAACAGGATTGGGTCTAGAAAAGGATAAACAACTAATTAATTAACCAAACTGTTACATTATTCATTAATACCAAAATGAGGTCTTTGGTACGTTTAAGGTCTGCTGTCCTGAGAAATTTTATTCTTCTTTATAAGTTTGAAATAATGTCTAACATTTTTAACCATGCCTCAGATAAAAATATATATTACAGTTTTTCTTAAATATAATTTAATAATGTTATAACTAATTTCCAAATTTAAAATCAATTATAGGTTGTCCGCATATAGTGCTCTTAACAAAATGCGACAAAGTAAGCAATTCGTTGAAAACTGGCAGACGGAGAATTTTTGATGACGGAAATGTGAGGGGATGCAAGGACAGACTCATGACAGAGTTCTATTTCAAACAACAACAGATATATCCTATCATAAATTACGATGATCAAAATGATGTAGATAAACATACCGATAGACTTATTTTAGGTATGTATGTCTTTTTAGCTCACATGAGGTGGCTCAGGGTCGGCTTTCATAATCGTTGAGTCCCTTTCGTCTGTCGTCCGTTCACATTAAATTCGTTAAAACACAAGTGGTTACCATATGCCTCAATTGTCATCAAATTTGGTCAAGATGTTATACTTAGGAAATGTACGGACTAGTTGGAACATTGGTCAACTGTGACGACACACTTTGTCACAGGAGGCAAATATAGAAGAATCATCTTTACACTCAGGTGACTACTGTTTCGGTCAAGATGTCCTGGATAAGGGTCAGAAATATTGTTTTGATGATTATTAGCTCAAAATCGAATACGGGTTACATGGGGTTTTAAAGTAGGCTACAAAGCTCAAATATCGAAAAAAAAATGTTTACACTCTAGCCGCTACCGCTTCAGTCCACATATCCTGTTAATTTCCCTAAAAAGTTATTTTGATGATTGCACGCTTAAGTTTGAATATTAATCACCTGGGGTCAAAAACTAGTTCACACGACCCAAAGATGGAGATACCTTAATAACATTCTAGAGGCTGCTGTTTTCAGCCAGATATCCTAAAAAAATCAAAAGATTATGTTGATGATGTTTAAAAATGGTCATATATAATAAATTAATGATAAATCTCGTTAATACTCTAGAGGCAACATTTTACACTCCTTATATCCTTACAATTTGTCAGATGGGTTTTTTGTCAACGTTTAGTTTCAGTACAAATAAGGGTAAAAAACTAGGCCACACAGCTCAACTATTGAAAAACCTTGTTAAAATTCCTGAAGATCCTATTTCGGGCTATTGGTTAGAAAGGTTGTTATGATGATTTCTATAGCAAGCTCGAATATGATTCATCTGGGGTCAAAATCCCGAAAACAGAAAAATCTAAAATTTGATCGGAAAGGATATTTTTATTTTAATAATTTCTAGATCAAATTTGAAAATTTGTAACCTAGGGTTAAAAACTATAATACACCGGGCGAATATCTGAAAACATAGTTAACAAACAAGAGGTATCATTTTTAGTCCAAATATTGTGAAATATTATGTCAAACAGTTTGTTTAGATTATTTCTAGGTAAAGTTTGAATATCTGTCACCTGGGGTAAAAACTGGATTACAATGCTCAAATAATGAAAAAGCTTGTTCACACTCTAAAGGAAACATTTTCAGCTAAAATCCCCGGACATTGGTCAAATGAAAAGTTTCTTTAAGATAATTGCTAGCTTAAAGCTGCACGCCGCCAGATGAGCCAAAATATTTCAAGAAAATCAATATTAAGAAAAATGTACGAGGTATAGTCAAAAAGTTCCCGGACTGGTCTGTTTAAAAAGATTATTGACGTCCGATTGTCATGAAATTTACCATGAAGGTATTTTTAACTAATTTGAGAAGCAACTTGTATGGAAAAAAAAAAATTAGTAAATATTTGGAAATTATTTTTCACATGAAACACGCCCGCAACCCGTGTACGGAGCATTTCAGAATTAATTTTATTTTTCTAGAAGTGAATAATACTCTTTCATGAATGTCTCAAAATACTGGCGCCAGAACGTTGTGATTTTTGTACGTGACGTCAGCTGATCGTTACTAGTAAAACAACTGCAAAAATTCAGCGTGATCGGATGACGTATCGCCATTTTGTGCACCGATTATTCAAGCCACGTGAAAAATTTCTTATACGAAAAAATGTCAACCTTTCAGAAAAAGTACGGAGCAGCTGGCCGGGGCAGTAATAAAATTCTGTGCGATGTTGGAAAATGACTCGACTGGATACCTGGAAGTTTTTAATCAAGATGGAGGGTGTTTCATATTTGTTCTAGGACACTTGGTTTGGACTGGCACAAGCGTTTTAGGGAAAAGGTTAGACGGAAATTACCGTATAGTGCACGAAGCGGAAAGACCGGGTAACGAATCAGCGCCAATCAAAGAGGGAAAGGGAAAACGTCATCGCCAAAGTGGGGGAAAAGTCGATTTGTGATATGCAGCCCCTGTGGGGGCCTTTGTAAAGGGAAAAAACTGAAAAAAAAAGAAAGTGACGAAGGTTTTAAAAACCCATGAAAAAAGGATGCCCCCGCTGGGGTACCTTTTGTTATTACAAAAGGAAAAAAAAAGAAACCCCGGAAAGAGTTTCCCCCGAGAATTTTTCCCGGGCGATATAATGGGAAAACGCAAAACCGTTTCCCAAAGGGGCGCATTATCAAGGGGAAGAACGTGGGGTTGAATTTTTTAAGACCGGAAGAGAAAACCCCGAGAGTCGAGGGTGTAAAAAAGCAAAACATTCTTTAAACCCCCCCCCAAGAAGGCAAAAATTTCCTCCCAAGTCGGCGAAGAAAGTTATGTATATTTTTCTTCATGGATAGCCGGGGTTTGCTGTTTGCTCATGCGGTCCCAAGATCGGCGACAGTCAACAAAGAGTACTATCAAAGGTAAGCATTAATTATGTCGCATGAAAAGTTTTTACTAAATTTTCTAATGTTTATTTATATGATAAGGTTAAAAGGGTATATATAAATTAACCAAAAAAGTGAAAGAAACTTTATTTTTAAATTTGCCCGCATTTGTGGTTTAGTTTCAAATTTAAAATGAATTTGTTATTAACAGGTTGTGCGGAGGGATCTAACGAAACGCTATCAGGGAAAAAGCGAGCAGGCTCGACATCGAAAATTTAATTTTTTTCATCAAGATAACGCTCCAGCACACCGCGCAGGACTGGACACTCCTTAAACTATATTGACTGTTTTAGGATATTGGCGGTTCGTCTCTCCCTTTTATAGCCCGCCCCCTTTGACTTTTGTGGTTTTCCCTAGACTGAAAGCAAAAATTTGGGAGGGTTCGGAGGTTTGAAAACAGAAGAGGGAGATAAAATTGCTTGGGTCCGAAAATAAAAAGTTACCACCCCCGAGTGTTTGCAAAAATTTTTTACCGAAATTTGGGGTTTAAAGGGGGAAACGGGAAAGGGTGTATTTAACCCCCAAATGGGGACTTTTTTTAAAAAAAAGCATGAACGTGAGGGGGAAAATTTGTTTCTGGAATAGGGAACGTTCCCTTTGGACGTCTTTTAGCGTCGTGACGTCGCCAAAAGGCTCCTTTAACTTTCAAAAGTTTTTAACCCGGGGTTTTTAAATTAGTGAAAAATTTATAAAAAATCATTGGACTTTAATATTAAAGCAGCGTTTTCTTTTAAATTTAATTGTGATTTTATGTAAATTATAAAAACATACACAAAATAAAAAAGGGTTTGGGGTAATTTGCCCCGGGAATTTTTTGACTATCCCTCGTACTAAAATTTTAAAAAAAGGAAAACTTTCAAAAATTAAAAGTTTTTTTTTCAAAAATTTTTTTTGTAGACAGTTTTTCGGGTTTTTTTTTTAGTTTCGATATTTTCCCGGGGGTTGGGAAAACAAAAACCAAATTTTTGGGGGTTTTTTGGGGATTTTTTTAGGGGACTTAAAAAGGGTTATAATTCTTGAATTGAAAAGGGGCCGGAAAAGCAATATGTAAATTTATTTTTTGGGTTTCCCCCCCTTTACAATTATTTCTTTAAAAAAACTTTTCCCAAAAATTTTTAAAAAAATTGGGTAACCTGGGAAAAAACTAGGTAAGAAGGGCCAAGTTTTGGAAAAAACCCTTTAATAAAAACAGGTACGTTCGGCCCAAAAATACCCTTTTAAAAGGGTTTAAAAATTGGGATTTTTATTGATTTTCTGGGATTTTTTTCTTTGGTCAAAAAATAAGGTTCCCCAGCCAAATATAAAATTTAAACCCTTTTTTTTCAGCCCCAAATTTTCCCTTTGAAAAGGTTTCAAAAATTTTGGGTTTTAAAATGAATTTAAAAATAGGGTTCACATTAAAAAAATTCGTTTTTAACGACAAAAACAAGCCCTTCCCTTTTTATATCAGGGGCGGGGAAACCGGGGGAAAGTGATAAACCCTTTTCCCCCTTTTTAGACCAAAACCCAATTTGGAAAGGGGCCGTAAAGAAAACCCCGGGCTAAAAAAAACTGTTCCCTTGCCCAATTTTCAAATTTTTAATCTTTTTTAAAAAAAGGGTTGGGTTTATTTTCAGGTCCGGGACCCAAAAAAGCGTGAAAACTCCAATTTTAGGGAAAATTTCAGCAGTGTCAGATTGGACCAAAAAATAATAAATCGAAAAATTTGTAATGGCCATAGTTAAAACCAGTCTAACGTCTACAACATTACATAATTACAATGTACATATTGGTTTTACTACATCTGACGTTTTAGCAATCATTTACGATTAATTTTTCTTTAAGTTTGAAAACGTTTTGAAAGATGGCCAAAACTTTGTTAGGGTATCCCGTACTGTAATTCTCTTGTAATTATTTGTGTAAAACTAAGATTCAATAAAGAAAAAACAGACTAAAAACAATGGTCCCCGATCATTGTACAGTATGAATTGATTACCGCTCATGCCCGTTGCTAGGGGTGTAGGGGGCGTTGGACATTTATTATCCCTCATGAACAGTCATCAAAACCGCGTCTTGGATTTCCTGTATTTTTGTTTGATTAATGTTCCGAGGGATCACTTTGTTTCCAGATTTTTATTACTGAAAAACTAAAAGCAACGAACATCCAACACTTATTACTTTAAATGTACAACAGTATTTATGAAAAATTCGTTCAAGCACCTAATACCTTCAACATTAAAATGTAAACCACAATTTGTAATGGCATAATACTAACATCGGGGAATACAACACGTAAGAAAATGTGTGTAAGGTTTCTAATCAAGGAGGAAATGTTACTTCTTTGATAAATTTTTGTAACAAAATTTTTCTGGATTTTATAGATTCGCGGAAATGTTTAATTGTACCAAAAAAACAATAAAAATTATTTTTTCTCCGCGTTCCATCGTTGAGGAAAATTGTCAAACTCTAACAGATTTATTTACAAAACCGGTTTAAAGGCTTGAATGAATTAAAAACTGTTTTTCATAAGGGTATAATCCCCGCGTAATATAAAAATCATTTCGC